TATATTTCAGAATGAAAACATACAATGCAAATTTAGTTCAGTTTCATGAAAGAGGACCCTAATATTAAGGGGTTTTCCATTATTAGAAGGGATCAGCTAAATGTTGCATATCAGCAATGGTTTCATTAGGCAAGGGTCTCTCTAAATTGATGGGAGACATCTATTTCTCAATACATGTTGCTGTTGTTGGTGTTAAAGACTGGGTGTCACTGTCTAATACTGGCTGGCCTCAGATGCACAGTGATGCATCTGCTCTCTGCCTCCTGCATGCTAGGATTAAGGACATGTGTAATCACACCAGGCTAAAATGATTGTTTTGAAAAGTGCTGAGTAACCTGGTCTTTTGAGAGCCAAGGACAAAAGCCAAGCTGGTCAGTATTCAGCAGATAGAGACCAGGTAGAGGACAGCCCTGGACTTGAGTGCTGTTCTTGAAATTCTCCAGCATTCATTTAGTTCATCAGACCTGCAACAAACTGCTGAGCAGACAGACCTTTCTAGAAGCTTCTATAGAAATGAAGCTTGTCGAATTTCCTTAATTCTGATGACTCCCCGTCTATTGTATTCTCTTTTAAATATGCTATGCTAATGTTTTTCCCTGGGTATTGAAGTTTGCAGTCCAGGGGTATATTGTATGTATGTATTTACATATGTGTATCATGTTGTTACATGTAAACAAACTTCAACTTGAAGTGCATTCATTATGTGGTATCCATGTGTACTGACCACGTGCCATATATCTGTTATGGTCACTGGAACATCTTTTTATGATGCTTGTTATTATACTGTTTCTCATTTAACTTGTAAAATTTTGCAGAACTCTTTTTTTCCCTTTTCACATATACATTTATATATTTTTCTACAATGGCCCTGGGAAGTTCAGTCCCAATCTCTTTTCTATTATCTTCCCCTCTGTAATAGGTATAGTTAGGATATATATTCAAGGTTCTTCTGACAATCAAGAATTTCCTAACTGTAATAATTTGTACATTACTTAATAAAGACTTGGCATGGTACCAAGGTATAAAAAACGTGTCTGCTTCCTTATAAGAAAGAGTTGCCTTTTATTGTGGCATAGACCCTGGAAAAGTACCTTCTTTTCTGTGTCCAGTAAGGAAACAAGTAACACGTTTCTATGCTTTTACACTAAATATACATTTATAGACTCCCAGTAAACCCATCTCACAGTCTTTTTTCTTTTTCCTCACAGAAGTATAATCCAGGATCATTATAGGAGATGGTTAGAGAGAAGGGAGATGGGGAGGATTGGGGATGGCTTGGGGGAATGGGAGCGGGGAGGAAGGATGGATATGGGACTAGGGAAGTATATATCTCAACTAAGGGAGCAATTTTAGGGTTTGCAAGAGTCTTGATTCTGGAGGGGTTCCCAGGCCCAAGGAGAGGTCCCCAGATTGTTCCCTGGGCAGCAGAGAAGAGCGTACCTGAACTGGCCCTGGTCCATAACCATACTGATGAATATTTTGTATATCACCATAGTCCTTCATTGGGCGATGGATGGAGATAGAGATAGAGACACACATTGGAACACTGGACTTAACTCCCTAGGTCCAAATGAGAAGCAGAAGGAGGGAGAACGTGAGCAAGAAAGGCAGGACTAGAGGGAACCTTCATCTGACGATAGATGGAGATAGAGATGGAGACCCACATTGGAGCACTGGACTGAGCCCCCAAGGTCCAAATGAGGAGCAGAAGGAGAGAGATCATGAAAAAGGAAATCAGAACCGTGTGGGATGCGTTCACCCTCGGATACAAGGGGACTGATCAAATGAGAGCTCACCAAGGCCAGCTGGACTGGGACTGAACGAGCATGTGATCAAACCGGAGTCTCTAAATATGACTGACATGGGGGCTGACTGAGAAGCCATTGTCAATGGCACTGGGTCTTGTTTTGTCTGCATGTACTAGCTTTCTGGGATCCTAGTCTGTTTGGATGCTCACCTTCCTAGACCTGGAGGGAGGGGGGAGGAACTTGAACTTCCCACAGGGCAGGAAACCCTGACTGCTCTTAGGACTGGAGAGGAAGGAGGGGTGGGAGTGGGGGGGAGGAGGAGAGGGAGTGGGGAGAATGGGAGGGTAGGGGAAGGAAGGGAGGAAGTGGAAATTTTTATAAACAAATAAATTAATAAAAAAAGAAAATAGACAGTTATAGAAAGAAATAGTTTTAAAAAATAAAACTGTCTTTAAAGAGACAGTAAAAGTGTAAGTCATAGATTAAAGAAGTAAAGATAATAATGTAAGTATTAAAAAGCAATAGAGTAAAAAAATAAGCCACATAAATATGGAATATACACCAGGAGTCTGGATTATGTATACCATTGTGTTTTCTTTGGATTTTTGGCTGTTAATGAGTTAACTGCTGAGAAACATTTGATTCTGGGGCCTGCTAAACTAAACCAACAAATTAAATATATATACATGGAATCTTTACTTCAAAAAAAAAAAAAAGAGTATAATCCTGGACAAAGACTTCAGGACAGGTGGACATTGGGGACATACAGGCCATAGGAATGTCAGAGTGTGAGACAGAGCAGGGGAAATGTCAGTAGAGGGTGTGTTGGTGTACTGTTAATGTCAGTAGAAGGTGTATTGGTGTACTGTTAATGTTATTGTCAGTAGAGGGTGTGTTGGTGCACTGTTAATGTTACTGTCAGTAGAGGGTGTGTTGGTG